CAAACGATCTGTGCGCTCCATTTTTTTCCACGGATTTATTTTTTTTGCCCTCCTCTAACGACTTTTCACCTCCACCCCCAGCCCGCGTTTCCAACCTGGATCTCTCTCTCTCTCTCTCCTTTTCTCTCTCGCACCCTCTGTCGCTCTTGGTTCGATTGATAGGATCGTCGCGAGACGCGGGACCCGCCAAGGAAATTTCGTGCCGAGAGAGAGCGCAAGAAGCCGGGTCAATGACGAAGGAGCGGAATTTCGCGTGCGCGATAAACCACTGTCGAGATGGAAAGACGGAGAGAAACAGAAAGACAGAGCGAGAGAGATAGAGAGGGAGCGCGAGGTAAAGGGTGGCGGCGAGGGAGAACGATCGATCACCGATTACACGATCGACTGCCGATCCGTCCGGGATAATCGAAACGGGAGCGCGGGGATCGATAACGAGGGAAACTCTCTTTAACCCCGGCCCAGCCATTAGCTCGTATACCCCGATCGGACTTTTCACGGGCGCGCAGTTATTTGTCGGGCACACGCAATATCCAATTCCGATCCGGCTACAGCTCGGAGAGAGAAGGAAGAGAGAGAGTACGAGGGACGGTGACAGAGCCGGTGCTCGTGGTGGTCGTTATCCGGGGGCCAGGACCGATGAAACGTTAGATAAAATTAAATTAATCCCGTCAATTTACCGTCCCATTATTTCGCGACAATGCGCAAGGGTATATCGGCGCGCGGAGGGCGGCGGCGAGGGGTTGCGCAGCACGGCGCGGCGCGGTGCGGCGCGGCCGACCGATACCCGCCGGTTCGACACCCGCCGATTCTGATTTACGCGGCCACTCTCCGCGGTCGGAGGAAAAAATTGTTCCGCCCCCCCGTCGAACCCGTAAAATCGTTCTCGCGCAAGAAACGGCTTACACGGGACCCGTGGCCGTCTCGGACGTAAAGCAATCGTAAAGTGAAAAGTTGATTTATGACCGGCCGCTGGAGGTGGAGGGTGGTTAACAGTGGGAGCGTGTGTGCGGACGGAAAAGAGGGATACGGAGGTGAACGCGATACAGGGCTCCATCATTTCCACGCCGAGTGTCTTCGCAGTGAAAGAGAACAGATAGGCGGAGGGGACGGCGAAGATCGGCAAGGGTACGCGGCGGTTATCCGATCGACGGACGAATCGGCGACGGATACGAGTTTTTATTCGGTCAATATAAGAGGGCGCCCTTCCCGAGATTACGAAACTGCCCTAACAGCAATATGGGATAACCCGGCGCGGCCGACCCGGCCTCGGTCTCCGGAACCGCCGTTGCGTCGTCCCGAAATACGTCGCTACGGACAGGGCGGGCGGCTGCCGGCTGGTTTAATAAAAATGTCAAATATAAAGTAGCCGGCGGGGACGGACGTTTAGGAAATAAATAAATGTAAAAGGAGCGGATCAGAAGGAGACGGGGAGAGAGAGAGAGAGAGAGAAAGAGGAGACCGTCCCCTGGCCGCGGAACGGTATACGAGTCCGTGGGACAGGGCACGAGGCGGACGGAGTGGGGGCGGTGGACCGCGCGCAGGGGTTGCAGAGAAAATATTATTCGAAAGGAAACGAGACGAAGTTGTCCATACGTAAGAGAATGGCTGCCATATAATATTACGGCCGGGAAGGGGTCAGTGCGTCCCCAAACTGTATGTATACACGCACCGCCTGCATTCTCGAATTTTTATGGAATTTTTTTCACGGTTCGGAACTCCCGCTGGAACCGGCTGGCTCGGTGCTTGCCCGCGGAAGGGGAGGCACGCTCGAGTTTCTCAACGAGGTTTGTTACTGCGGGAGACTTTCCAGCGACGCGGGATTCGACTTGCGGGCCGATTAATTGAAACAAATGTTCCACAACTTTTTTCGTTGTTCCGTGAACCACGGATTATCGATGGAGTTGCGTAGACTCTCGCTGAGATACTTTCCAGTGGGTTAATTAGAGAAAGGGTCCTCCTTTGTGAAGAAATGATTTTCCATTTCGAAGATTAGAAACGTTTAAAATTCTCGATGTTAGGCTGTCGATGGACGGTAAGAAGCTAATAGCGGTATACCGTGTCTCTATGGAGTCTAATATTAATCACTCCTCGTAATCGATTCCAACAATGTCAGATTCCAACTGTAACACTCTCGAAACGCCCACGTATCGATCAACGGTCCAGCCGAGGTGCAACGGAAAGCTGTAAAAACACTCGGACGTGGGTAGCTGAATGCACAGCCAGCTGATCGCGTTTCTCGGTCCATTGCAGCGGCGCGAATAAATCAGAATTCCCATTCATAACTTTCCTTAATTCCGTGCTCTAGATTCGCGCGGCGAGCTGTTAACGCGCAATTAAAAATCGCCGGGCGTTTATCAGGATTCCCGGACATCGAGGTCGGCTGCACTTTAATTGCGTCCAGCGTCGGGGCAATTAGGCCAGTAATTTTACACGTATCCCTTGTTGGCCGGCCGAAACTTAATACCCTCCTGCTCCGCGAGGGATCCTGGCCGGCGGATCGAACGCGGCTGCACCTGTTCCGTCCGTCCGAGGATGAAAGCGCGCGGTGGATGATCGAGGGAAGAGCACCGTGCGGATACACGCACCCCTAGTCCTCGCCGAGTCACGTTCCGCATCTTGCCGGCGCGTCCTCGGAGCTGCGTGGACGAGGAACGCGGAGGCGGGGAATAGGGCTCGCCAGGATAGGGCAAAGTGCAGGGTGCACGGGGCGGCTGGGCGGGGTGCGACGCGGCACGGTACGGCACGGCGCATAACACGAGACGGCAGTCACGACTGCAATTTCGGGGTTTAATAATGATCCCAGCCGACGGCTCAAGGCTGTATCCCGTGTCATTATACTGTGAAGTGGAGAGGCTGCTAATTAGTCATTAGCGTAGGAAAAAGACACCTTCAACGGGCTCGGTAGCAGCTACAGGACGGGCGGCAACCCCATCCGACGGACGGTGGGTGCACAGGTACGGCAAACTTGAGCAAACAGGGTGTAGCTTCTAGCCTACGTCTAATTGGACCCTAGCGACGTAAGTTCTGCTAATTGAGACCAGGCCTGTAACT